ATATTATTAATTCGCACGGCGAAGAAAAGGCGGCAGCCCGGGCTACTTTTTCCAAACAATTAAGTTTCTTCCTTTTAACGCTAGAGGCGCGGCTGTCCTGTGCGCTGATTTCCGCTGTTTAGCGGAAGTTCCGTTTAGGAACCGCAATGTTGCAAATTGTATGAAATGTCCAACTTCGAATACTTAACACACCCCCTACCAAAACCAGTATGATGGTTTTTATGAATTAGAAATAATAATACATTAAATATATATATAAAGAGAAGCCACTGTAACGATTACTTTTACTTTTTATTATTTAAATTAAAAACAAATAAACTTAACAATAATACTTTTAAATATTTATATTTTTATTAATTATTATAAGGCAAGGGACTAAGTTTATTAACAGGTCTTTGTATTATGCTTTTCTCTGTACGGAGTGTCACACATCGGACTACATTGTCAGGACCAGGATGTAATTTTTCTATTTTGGCTAACGGCCATTTACAAGAAGGAACGTTATCGGTTTTTATAATTACTAAATCACCAACCTTTAAACTAGATGAAGTTGTAAACCACTTTGCTCTTTGTTGAAGTGTATTTAAATATTCGCGATTCCAACGTTTCCAAAACATTTGAGAACACTTTTGGACGTACTGCCAACGTGACAGCCTATTTACGTCAATATCTTGAAAGTCATATTCAGGTACAGAAATTAAACTTTTACCAATGAGAAAATGTCCGGCGGTCAACACGTTAAATTCATTAGGATTATCGCTAGCTGGTAATGGACATAGTGGACGCGAATTTAAAATTGCTTCTGCCTTGCAAAAAACTGTTTGAAGTTCCTCGAATGTCAAGGATTTTTCACCTACACTTCGAGCTAAAAGATATTTTGCGGATTTAATGCCGGCTTCCCATAATCCTCCCATATGTGGAGCACTCGGGACGTTAAATTTCCACTTCAATTGCCGTATAGCACAACCATTAGAAATGTCATTTTGATTGTCACGTAAGAAATTTTGTATCTCGGTCAGATATTTACTAGCGGCAACAAAATTAGTTCCACAATCTGAATAAAGAATAGAACACAAGCCCCTACGTGCTACAAACCGATCTAAACACGCGAGAAAACAGTCGGCCGAAAGAGAGGTTAATACCTCCAAATGAACAGCTTTGGTTGGGAAACATACGAATAATGCTAAATACGCTTTAGAAACCTTACTATTTCTACGTAAGCTTTCTTTTATTATAAAAGGACCTCCGAGGTCAACTCCGACGTGAGAAAATACTTTGTTAGGCATAAGTCGAGCAGGTGGTAAAGGAGCCATTTCTGGTTGCAATGACGACGGTTTATATTTAAAACAAATTTGACACTTTGACAGAACGGACCTTATAACGCTACGAGCTGCCGGAATCCAGTATAGTTCATTTAAAATACTTTGTAGAGTGCGAGGTCCTACATGTAAATATTTTTTATGTAAAAATTCAATTAATAATATTGTAAACCTACTATTTTTGGGAAGAAGAAGTGGATGTTTAGCGTTATATGGAAGTTCAGATTGACTTATACGACCCCCTACCCTGAGGAATCCGTACTGATCAAGGAATGGAGATAATTTTTTTAAAGAAGGTACGTATTTGTTATTTTTAATAAAGTTTATTTCACTTTCATAGTAAGCACTTTGAATTAATTTTATCAATATATTTAAGGTTTCATTTAATTCTATTGTGGAAAGATACGATGATTTGTTGTTATTCATATTTTTGTTACGTAATTTTCTAACAATCCATGTAAAAGATCTGTGTAATTTAGAAAAGGACGAGAATAAATTGCAAATTCTTTCACAAAATTCTTTTTTGTTTTCATTTAATACACTGTTTCCCTGAAATAGCAAATTTATTGTAGTTTTTAATTCTGGTAACTGTGTATTTTTTTCATTAACAAAGACCGATACTGGCCAATCATTCTGGTTTTGATACATCCAGTCGGAACCTTTCAACCACTGATCCCTACAACAAAGTAGTTCAGCGGGAGACGCTCCACGCGAGCAAATATCTGCTGGATTATTTTCGCTTGAAACATGACGCCAATAATGAGAAGGTAAAACGTCAAGTATTTGAGCCACACGGTGACTTACAAAAGTTTTTAATTTATAAGGTTCTGTTTGTAGCCATGACAGTACGACTGTCGAATCCGACAAAGCAGTTATTTTGGTGACTTTAACGCGAGAAAAAATATCACAAACTGACTTAATTAGTTTACTAAGTAACACGGCACCCATTAACTCTAATCTTGGGATCGTGATCGGTTTTATTGGCGCGACTTTCGATTTTGCAGTTACTAGGCGTATTTTAACATTGTTTTTATTATCGCGACTTATCACATAAACGCAGGCTGCGTAACCTCTCAAAGAAGCGTCACAAAAACCGATCAACTCGCATTCAGTTTGTCCCGGCAATAACATGTGACGTTCAATACGGAATTCGGCCAAAGTCGGCAGTTCTAAAATGAAATTGTGCCATTTTTCTTTTAAACTATCCGGTAGTTTTTCATCCCAACCGATACCCAACTTCCAAAGATCTTGCATTATCCCTTTTGCTAAAAATGTGCAAGGCGCAATAAAACCCACGGGGTCATAGATCGATGCCAATAATTTAAGTACGGAACGTTTCGTAGAAGTAGTATCAGTTTTATTACACGAAAAAATAAAATTGTCTATCGTCGGAATCCATTGAAGCCCTAAGACCTTTATAGTACAATTATATTCATCTTTTGAAAAAGTAATAGAACTTTCCCTACATTCCTTTGGAACACGTTTAAGTATATCTTCGCTATTGCTCATCCATTTTTTCAACGTGAAATTAGCGCTTTTAAATATATTTATTAACTGATCTTGAACTGCACAAGCCTCTTCGAATGTGTTACAAGAGTATAATATGTCATCCATATAAATTTCCTCGCGAAGAACCTGAGCAGCGAGTGGAAAACGTTCCCCCTCGTCCATTGCTAACTGAAGTAACGTTCTAATAGCTAAAAATGGCGAACAACTAAGACCGTACGTTACGGTGTTTAATTCGTATATTTTTATAGGGTCATCTTTAGATTCTCTAAATAAAATATGTTGATAACAACGATCATCCTTCTTCAAAAGAATAGCGCGATACATTTTACATACATCACTTACTAGACAAAATTCAAAAAGTCTGAAATTTATTATTATCGCTAATATGTCGCGGTACAACTTGGGTCCTATCAATAATATATCATTCAAGGAAACGTTATTACTACTTTTAGCAGATCCGTCGAACACAACACGCATCGGAGTCGATGTACTACTAGGTCGTAAAATGCTATGATGAGGAATAATATATTCACTAGGCTTATCACCGAGAAAAAGAGACATGTGTCCGAGACTTTCGTATTCTTGCATAAATTCCACGTGCATCTTTTGTAAATGTGGAGTGCGTGCAAGTTTGCGTTCCGTATATCGTAGCCTACGCTCGGCAATGGAGCGCGTTTCGCCGAGTGGCGGGTGTTGCGGCGCGAAAATAAGTGGTACGATGTATTGGCCGTTCGAATCCCGGGTATGTTCTTTTAGAAATATGTCTTCCGCCAATTGATCCATTGGATTGACTGCAGGGGTACACGGTACTTCCTCGGTTTCCCAAAAGGAACGTAATATTTTATCTAACGATTGTTCGTCCTCGTAAGAAACTGATAAGTGAAAATTATGTGAAATATTATTTTTATACAGCAAGCAATTAAAACCACTCTCCAAATTTGAGTATGTTAATCTTTACGACAAATAATGAAATACGTGTTTTTTCTTTTTATGTCGTTTAGAACAAAAATGTTGAGTTATATCGTCACCAAGTTATTTTCAAAAAACCTACATTTGTGGACGCTCTCGCTGCCCAGTACGTGCGCTTTACGCGCTACGTTACACTTACCCCTCCCTCCCTTGCCGCAATTCATTGACAGTAATAATAGCAGCTACCTAAAATGTTTTCGTTTTGTCATGCTTGGGGAAATGATAAATAAAATTGAAACCTCTTCATACTTTTACGGGCTTAGGACCGTCAAATTGCATAAATCCTATTAGATACCTACTATTACAATAGCTATACTGCTTTAAATTTATAAAGTAAGTAGGTAAGTAAATATCGAGTTACCTAAAATTCTGTTTAGTTAAACCAATTCAAAGTAGGTACTTAACTCGCTATTCTTTTGCAATCAGGCGTATTTAAAAAATCATCAACTTTATGTACATAATCAACTAATCAATTTACCTACCTACTTTAACTATTTACCTACGTATACTTTAATAATTGTTCAAAGTACATACCGTTCCTCTCCAAACAGAGTATGCACCTTTTCTGCACATTGTCTTTTAATTTTGCGAGCACTACCGTGTCATTTTTCACTTGGTAAAATGCCGCTCTGATTTCGAGGGTTTACTGCAAAAACCGGCTAACCGACATTTTTTCCAGAAATGAGTTAAGAGCACCAAGATACTTATTTTTTTAAGCTCTTTCTACTGGCAAAACCGGCTAAGCGATACGATCAGGCGATTAGAAGTTACTTGGTGTCAAAAACGGTTAAATACAGCAAAATTACAATAAGTATGTGATAAAACCACTTAAACACGTTTATGAAGGAATGTTTATAAATCTATACTGAGAAAAAAAAATAAGCATACTTAACATCTTTTTCTTAAGAACTATCAAAATAAAATGTACTCAAACACGTTCTGTTAATAAAAAATAAACTCACTTAATCGTATTTTATAGACGACTTAAGCTGTCGTTGCCTGTAAAATCTCACTGCCAAAATCTTTCAAATGCTCTTAATATCAATTGCCTGTACTACAACTTATAATCATTAGAAATCTTCGACAGGCAAAACCGACTAACTAACTCTAGCTGATTTATGCACAATACTTTGATGAAATTGACGATCATGTATCCGTTGTAAAAAAGAAATAAGCGCCGCCGACATGTTTTGACAGGTTGTCAGTTTGCTTCAAGTGTTCACAGCGAGCGGTTTTCAAATCGAAAGTATTACTTTGTCATTATTAATACAATTGTTTTGAAATTAATTGTGTAGACTGTGACATGTATTGGTAAAAATGACGTCAAGAGGAAAAAAACTAGTGTCGTTAGTGGTTAGTAATAATGATTTTACTACCGGTAAGTTTTATTTTGAGGTTATGTTTTAAACAAATTATTTACAATGCAAAAATGCCTTTTACATAACCATTTTGGATGTTATTTTTAGAAAATATACAATCTAATATTAACGTCAGGGATGTAGAAATTCAAGAAACCCTGTCAATATTTAACAACGATGAGAATATTATGATGAGTGGTATAGAGCTACATCAAACTTTGACTGATGGTATGTAAGCTATATTTAATTAATCTTAAGATGATATTTACAAATCCGTAGTGAGTTTAGGTACTGAACGCTAATGTTACTTATTAATACTGATTACATTTGCTGGCTCGAGGAGTGTAAAAAGAAATGATGTATTTATTTTTATGTTTTCTTTATATTTTAGGGGAACAATCAGATGATTCAACTGAAAAGGAATTAGAGAGCTTTTTCGGTGACGTTTCTGATACAGATGACCCAACTTACCACCCCCAGGACTACTCACCACATATGGGACACGTAGACTCCGCTGATTTAGTAACATTACATGATTTACTAGGTAGAAGAGACAACGAAACAAGGGAACAGTTTGAAGTCGAAGAGTTGCAAAACATTATTGAAGCTGTCCAGGAAGGTGAAAAACAAAATAGCGAAGCTACTGCCGTAGTTGAAGATTTTTTGACTGATCTTCTTAAAAAGACTTGGCTACTCATAAAACCAACAAAACGGTGGCGCAAATCTGATCCCAGTTGTTGGGCTCGTAATGTAGCAAAAAAAAGACGAGCAGATGGTTTGTCTTATAGAACTAAATCGAAAGTGAGACCTGCCAAAGTGCCTAAAGATATTGATTGCTGCAAATGTCAATTCAAATGTACTGATATTTTTACAGCAAAAAATAGAGAGGAAATCTGTAGATATTTTTGGAATTTGGATTTCCAGGCCAAAAAAAATTTTATTTTAGTCAATATACAAATACAACTTCCAAAACGAATCCTGGCTGCCCACAATAGACACCGCACAGAAAAGACATATACTAAAAAATGTTTTTTTACCAAAGAAAATGAGAAAAAACAGGTATGTCAAAAGTTTTTTTGTAATACTTTGAGTATCTCACCTTCTGTAATAACTGATGCAATAAAAAAACGAAATGACAAGAACTGTTTTGATGCATGTGATGCAAGAGGTGGACACACACCTGCTAACAAAACAAAACCTGATATTATTCATGGAGTAAGGAACCATATTGAATCGTTTCCTTGTATGGAAGCCCATTACAGTAGAAAAGACACTCAACGCAGATACTTAGATAAAAATCTTAACATACGAAAGATGCATTTATTGTACAAAGATGAGTGTTTAAAAAACGAGGTTGAGCCGGCGTCTGAAATAACTTATAGACGAATATTTTCCAACGAATATAACCTGAGCTTCTTTATACCTCGAAAAGATCAATGCCTAATTTGCACTAATTATGCCCAGGCTGATACTGAAAAGAAAAAAGAACTTGAAGAAGTTTACTTGGCTCATCAGGAGAGAAAGAAGACTTGTAATAAGGAAAAAGAAAAAGATAAAATAAAAGCAAACTCAGAGGAGAATTTTAGTACTGTGACGTTTGATTTACAAGCAGTTCTCCAAATACCTACTTGTGATGTAGGCCTGCTTTATTATTCAAGAAAACTATGTGTTTACAACCTAACAGTATACGAAGCAGGTCTACCTAATAATGCCTATTGCTTCCCATGGTCGGAGGTTAACGGCAAGAAAGGTAGTTGCGAAATTGGTACTATACTTTTACACTATCTTACTAATTGTGTCCCTGAAAACGTCACAGAAATCAGTTTATTCTCAGACACATGTGGCGGTCAAAACCGCAATCAATTTGTTGCCGCCTTACTACTTTGGGCAGTCCAGAAAATTGACCACTTCAAAGTGATTGAGCAAAAGTTTTTGGAATCTGGACACAGCCAGATGGAAGCAGATTCTATGCATAGTAGCATAGAATCTGCAAAAAAAAACACGTCCGTTTTTTCTATGATGGAATGGATATCAATTTTTAAACGTGCTAGGCGCAGGCAAACTGTAAAAGTTGATGGAAAGAAAATAATTAGAGAACCATACCATGTCAAAGAATTTAAGTACAAGGAGTTTCTTGACCTGAAGCACCTTGCTGATGCAATTATGAAGAATAAGACGAAAGATGAAAAAGGAAACAGAGTACAATGGTTAAAGATTAAGAGAATAAGGTATGTAAAAGGAGAAGAAAGAAAATTGTTTTTTAATTATGACATGAGTGAACATTTTAATGTCATGAATATTGGGGAAACTCCATCCACTTTCACAACCCAACATGAGTATTCAACGCGAAAGAAAATGCGACATACTGAAAATAACTCACCTGCTGATCATGAACTTCCGAACCAGTTAAATCGTCTGTATCAAGAACCTCTCAAAATAACCGAAGCCAAAAAAAGAGATCTCATAAATTTGTGTAAGAAAGGTATAATACCAGAAGAGCTACACGGCTGGATCGAAAACTTAAAAACTGAAAAGTTGAATGATAGACTACCTGAGCCGACTGTTAGTGATTCAGAAAATGAAGACGATTGTTAAACGTTTTTATGAACATTTTGCAGATATTAAATTAAAACCGATTTGTAAAAGCAACTTTGTTACTTTCAAGAAAGGATGATTATTCACAAGTTTAAATTGATTATAAAAGTTTTTTTCTTTGCGTTCAGCACAAGCTACTTAAATAAAAAATACAGGGAAAACCAGCTATGTTTTTTTATTTTATTGACTACACCTTAAATTTAGTCTTTTATCACTATATTTTTACATAAAAAAATATTATTTGCTAACATCTACGCAAATTAGAATAAAAATCACCATAAACAATAATAATCTCGGCAATACAGCATTTTAGCAATTTACAGGCAAAACCAGTTAACCGTACGACCTTGCTCATGAATTACCTAATTTCATGATTTCTGTTACTCATATTCAGTAATATTACAAAACTATTGTACTTAAAGATGTTTTCCAACTAACAACGTATAACACGTATAACCCACTAAAATTATAGAGTTAAAAATTTACGTAAACATATTATTAGACTCGATATCTCAAAACAAGGTTTGTAGTATTTAGCCGATTTTTGCAGTAAACCCTCGATTTGCACTTTTAAGTCCTCGAGGCTTTGTGCTTCCTCAACATACACACGTCTTTTAATTTCGCCCCACAAATAAAAGTCACACTGTGGTAGGTCCGGCGATCGCGCAGGCCCCACGATGGGGCCTCCGCGTCACGTTGATCACCATGTATGTAACACTGCACCATTTCATAATATTCGCGATTGGAATACATTACGACGCGCGAAATGTGGCGCTGTGACGGGCGGTGCGCAACACGGAAGCAAAGGCGGAAGCGCATGCGTTCAAAGGGGTTGTGCGCGGGCGACTGACTGATGTGCGTCGACAAAATAAAAAACCGAGCAGACATTGTTGTTGGCGCATGCGCGTACATCCCCTGCGCCCGCGCCCTTGCTACCTCTGCCGCCTTGTTTTATTCATAACTAATGTGACAATGCGAATGTTATAACTATCTTGTAATTACAACAAGTTTACATTTCATTTTGAAAATTTGACATACCGTTTTTTTTTCATATATGTGATCTATTAACGATACCTAATGCCTAGAAAAAATTTGGAGAGTCATTTTAAATGCAGCCGGTATAAATTTAATTTACCGCTTACAACGTATCCGAATACGGTTTCAATTAAGCTCGGAATATTATTATTTATGATTAACGGCTTATTTATAATAAGGTCTGGAACAATATCATTTCCTAATAAAATATCAACCCGAGAACGTTTATAAAATAACGGATCAGCTAGTGTAAAACTTTTATATTCGTTAATGACACTCTCAGAAAAAACTATATTTGGCATATCCGTTGACACTTTGGATACAACTACTAAGTTGACCTCGAACGTCGGGCCGTCAGAATAACGAGACTTTAATGTCCACGTAACCATGCCTTGATTTTTAATGAATGTACCCCCTAAGCCATTAATAGTAAACGGACATTTCCTACGAGGTAAATTCAACTTTTGAGCACATTCTGTAGTTATAAAAGAGCTCTGAGCACCCGAATCAATGACTGCACGGCAATCTCGATATTGTCCGTCAATATCACGAATATGTGTAACTGTAGTACCTAACACTACGCCATAAGCTTGAATATTATTTGATTCATTGTTTGATATTTGATGCGTAGGCATAGACTCACTCACGAAGTGAGATGACACTAGAGCTTGTTGCGTGTGCGAAAGAGACAACTGTACGGCTGAGGTGCTCGGCATGGCCGACGCACAGTGGAAAATGGTAGAACAAGAGCATATCAAAAGTACTTTTTACGAATATCATAATTTGTTTGATTTGGTGATTTTATTAGGATCTCAAATAATCGAATTATAATATTCATTAAGTTTTTTTATCGAAAATGCACGTAGTTACATTTTTTTCATAGGTAGAAGTACATAGAAGACGGGAGTGCCGGACTCGAGTCTACGCATATACATGTTTCAAAACCATAGTGTGCAATATATATTGGGTACATATATGCAGTATTATACATTTTTGGAAAGGTTGTTTCATGCTTATTTCGTTACAGCTTCTTAATTTCTAAAGCAGTGACAATTATGTCAGTAAGTAATTAAAAAGTGGCATACTGTTAACTAAAACCTGACTTTCAATCATCAAACTATTTATTCACTAATTTGCATACATCACACATAGCTATCAATAATCACAACACTTTATTTTATAATTTACACTAGTTGTCACAGCGCGAGCGGAACTAAGACTGCCATGCTTAGGTCGGTTGCTTGCTTATCTAGTCGCCATCTTGCACGTGAACGTCATTGTGCGCCGCAAGATGGCGTCACCGGCGTCAACTTCCGGTCAATTAATGTTGATTTCATTAAGTTGCCAACACGGCCATTCTGCAAGGCGTTTGCCCCAGACGCCACAATTTTATGGAATATACTGAAACTGAAAATATGAAATTAAATATGAAATAATGTAAATGTCACACGTATAATGTTCAGTCTTCTTAACATGTTCACATACTGATCGCAAACAGAATATTTTGAAACTGAAGACCACTCGCACTTAAAGGGACTTTTCCTCACTTAAGAGACCAAGTTCGTCTTTGTTTCCATGACGACTAAACTGAAGACCACTTGCACTTAAAGGGAATTTACCACACTTAAGAGACCAAGTTCGTCTTTGTTTCCATGACGACTAAACTGAAGACCACTTGCACTTAAAGGGAATTTACCACACTTAAGAGACCAAGTTCGTCTTTGTTTCCATGACGACTAAACTGAAGACCACTTGCACTTAAAGGGAATTTACCACACTTAAGGGACCAAGTTAGTCTTAGTTTTTGCAACCACTCGCACTCAAAGGGCAATAACCTCACTTAAGTATACCGAGTTGGTTCAACACGTCCTACCTCACTTATATACGAGTCAGTATATTTACACGCATGAACTATATTTAGGTAACTTATTTATTTACCTTGGAATACCGACGGTTTTAGGTATTTTTAATTTCTATTTATTAAAATAACAAGTCAGTTACAGGAAATATTTAAAAGTTATATGTTATTATTAGTAGTTTAACATATACTTAATAAAGGTGTAAGGTAATGCGGTCATATTGTTACTAATATCACACATAAGTAACTGTTTCCACATTTGTTTGTCTGTTAGAAAACTACTTGCACTTAAAGGGACTCTGCCGCACTTAAGAGACCAAGTTAGTCTTCCACCCTGCACAATGGAGCCACTTGCACTCAAAGGGATATATACCCACTTGAGCGTACCAAGTTCACTCACAATTATGCCTATGTACCTTTCAATATGTTTACAACAATTATTAATGTGTGACATAAATATAAGTTAAAGCATTTTATCTTGACTCGCAAACCTTACGTGTATACTCGTATTACTTTATAAACCAAATTGTTATGCCTGATGTAATATTTTACTTGTATACATAATTTTTTTTTTATGTGTTCTATTTTTAATAAACTATGAATTAGGTAAGATACCAAAAACAGTATATTAAGGTGTTTACCTTGCCAACACGAATATCTATTATATACATAATATAATCACGTAATTATTCAGATTCATTCCAGTTGTCTATTTTAATCCACGGCTTCATATTTTCAGCCGCTATCACGCCACTATACTTTTTAAAGGATCTTTCACTTCCTTTAAGATCCGTTACCTCATATCTGTCATTTCCCACAAGTTTTTTGACTTTGAATGGACCCAAGTGGTCTAAATGAAGTGTATGAAAAGGTTGAGCATATTTTGGCATTGGAAATAATTCGCCTTCCTTGGCACCCCCTTTGTTTTTGAAGTATATACAATTTAAACAATTTTTTATGTACTTTTTTATAATACGACGCATGTGGGGAAACCAGTAAAACTTTGATATTCTTTCTACAGTTTTGTCTACAGAAAAATGTCCAATGTCATCATGGTTGTATTTAATTATTTGCCAAATACATTTTTTTGGTACCAACCATCGACGACCCTTTGCTGTTCTTCTGTAAACTTTTGACCCAAGCAATTCGTATTTGTCAAAAACATCTCTATTTTGGTCGGCCTCTCCCGATTCTAAAATTGATTTTAATTGTTGAATTTTAGAGTCTTGTGTTTGCACTAACAGCAACCAATCTGCTTCAGTAATGGACATAATGATTTCAACTTCAGACTTTTCCCCCGAAACTACAGGATTTCGACTTAATGCATCAACATGCAGCATACGTGTACCTGCTCTATGGACAATTTCAAATGAAAATTCTTGTGTAGCTAATACCCATCGAGCTATGCGTGGGACAATATCTTTTTTTAGTGAGCGCATATCGTACAGCACTGCAGTCAGTTATGATTTTAAAATTTGAACCTAACAGATATAGGCGGAATTTTTGGAGCGAACAAATAATTGCCAACAGTTCTAATTCAAATGAATGGTATAATTTTTCATTTTCGGTAGTTTGCCTACTATAATAATGGACTGGTTTTTCTCCCTCATTTGTAATTTGCATAAGTATTCCTGCAATACCCTCTCGACTAGCATCAGTGTATAAAACACTATCTCTATTGGGATCAAAAATAGACAGGAAATTATCTGATGTTAATTTATTTTTTAACGATTGAAATGTCTCTTCTTGTTTGTCTTCCCAAGCCCAGGTAGTATCCTTCTTTAACAGTTTTGTCAAAGGCACCAAAATCATTGCGCAATTTTTAATAAATTTCCGAAAATAGCTTATTAGACCAATGAACTGTCGAAGTTGGTGTACTGTTTTGGGTCTTGGAAACTGCCTAACTGATTCTAATTTCGCTTCATTTGGCATAATTTTCCCAGACTTTACTCGATAACCTAAGAACTCTATTTCACTTTTGAAGAAATGACACTTTTTTTAGATTCAGAGTCAAACCATTCATCCTAAAAATTTGCAATATCTGTTCTAATAACTTCAAATTTTCTTCCACCGTATTTGTTACAAGATAAATATCATCTAAATAACT